TATTAAATTTCCCTGCTGGCACAAGAGGCAATTCAACTCAACACCTTCTTGGTGTCGGTTTGGTGACGGCACCTTCGCTCACTCGGTCCTGCCATCGGCCGCCACAAAGCTCTCCACACGCTGCCTTGCAAGGGTAAAAACACAGAGCGCGCCAAAGGGTCAGCCGCACATCACCTCAGCCATCTCTGCTGCTAATCTGTTCACCTGGGAGGAGGGCCGCAGGGAGCCGTATTACAAAGGGCCTGTCAGTGAAATAGCTGAAAAGCAGCAGCTCTCGCTTGATATTTTTGGAAGTGTCCACATCAGCAGCAGCAGAAGCAGAGCAGCGGTGACAGAGCCTCGTGTATTCCCCTCATTGACCGCCAGAATACCATTATGTTTGAGTGGTGTTCTCCTTAAGGACAATGGTTATAGGGAAAACGGGAATCACCGGCCGACTCTCCAGCCAGCCATTGGACAGATCTTAGATCAGTGCCTCACAGAATGCAAGCTGGTCCGCTGTCACCCAAAGCCGAATGAAGAAATTTTTTGTCTAGCAGAGGAATAACAGGCATGACTGGTGCAGACTGACTGTGCTAACCAGGGACAGCAGCTCTGTCCTGTGTGATCTATTTATGTCTACTGTACACTGTCATCCGCTGTAATTAAAAACAGGGAAGGACGACCCCTCATGTCTAGATAGCTCCCCGGAAGCGGCTCAACTTGGGTTGCAAGCAAATTTGAAGCGGTATTGCCCCTACTCCACGTGAAGCTACAGGTCCACACAACCAGGCACGAGCCAAAGACACAGCACACTTTAACGAACACAGCCAGCCACACGGGGTCGGAAGCCAGCCGGGGTCGGCGTCCTTGTGTTGGCACCAGTGGCTCCGGGTGGTCTGGGGCTGGAGGTGAGGGTGTGAACCACCAGTGTGTTTTTGCTCTCTCTACCAGTGAAGCTTATCACTTGCAAGTGAGAATAAACGGTCGGTGACACCATGTGTCACAGAGGTGTCTGCAGCCCTCCACAGGCCAAGCCCGGGAGTTAGCGGTGACAAGGACAGCAGGCGCACGGCGTTTCCAAGAGGGAGAAAATGGAAGCAACAAATAAAGCAAATCAAGCCAATCAAATGATGTTCACTGAAATGATTCTTTCTGACAAAATAGAACCAGGACTGATAGACTGAAGAACAGCTTCTTTCCAACTGCTGTCAGAGCCACAGATGCCTCTTTATTATAATAAATGCAATATATTGCAAACATACAACTACCACTACCTCTGTGCAATATCCACTGTACTCATTATTATAGTTCTGTCTTTGTTTGTTTTATATATATGTTTCTTTTATATTGAATACAGTTGTTCTACAAAGTGTTTATATTTTTGTTCTTGCACTGAAAGGCCTGCACCTTGCTTTTCATTGTACTCGTTACAATGACAACAAAACGAATCTGAATCTGAAGAAGTCTCACCTTAGGACCTCATACTGGCATTCACTGCTGTGGATCGCTGCTTTGGGTTTAATCATGTGTTCTTCACATTTATTCGAGTTTTTTTTTTTAAAGAAAACAACCCTCTTGATTCCAAATGAATAAATACATAAATAGAAAAAAATGAAAATGTTGATCAGAGTGGTTCATCCCTATGAAATAACAGTTGGCAAGGTGATAATGGCGCCTGCTTGCGTTATTCCTTTAAGTACTTTCACATTACAGGATGCTCTTTTTTATCAGGCTTAGCATTTAAAGGCATGGTAGGTGCATTAGCCTGAAAACAGGATGACTAATGCTCCTCAACATGTGCTCACGGTGCGTCGTGCAGGACACACAGAACCTTCAAGCCGGTAAAAAGCAATGCCGGACAGCTATTTGATACTCAATTGTTAGCGATTAAACTAATAATATTGGTGGACCTGTGAGGTAATTCATTTTATTTTCTCTCCTCTTTCAGCCCACAGAAGGGGATGCGATGCCACAACTGAAAATATCAATATTGGTGCGATCCTGACATGTTATCATTATGAGATAGAACGTGGTGCTTAATTGTCACCACCAGTCACTCACTGAAATCCACACACATCACATATTTATTACAGCATTGTTTGGTCTGGCAACAGTCCAGCCGATTAGAATCATCATTAACAAAGGATTCTGGTGGATATAAATGAAATTATGAGTACCTGAAAATCCCACAATCACATGTGCATAATTTATCGACTTAAACTTGGCATCAGTGTTTTCTTCTTCGAGCGTGTCTCACCGAGGGAGTTTCATTTTTTTGTTGATGTCTATTTCTGAGAAGAAGAAAAAAAAAGCTGCTAAATTATTGTTGCTAAAGCTTTGTTGAATGATGCTAATTATTCCGCCGCTCACATCTGCTTAAGTTCCTGTTGGCAGTGGCTTTCTTTATGTCAGAATGATACTGCTTTGTGTTGCCCTTCACTGTCTTAATAATACAGCCCTCTGGAAGCAAAATAACCCCCTAGGAATTCTGCCAGCTACAGGAAATCACTCAGATGCAGCAATCGTTCATTAAAAACATATTGCCGGGATCGCATTGATGTTGTACTTTCCCCGTCCTAAAAGCATTTAACCCTTGACAAGCGGCTGTGAAATGGGCTCACAGCACCATTTTTCACTCCTGATGTGAGATAGAAAAGCTCGCCGGGTCACGTTGGAATGACTCCTGCGTATCGCTGTTTGTATCTGGTGCTAGGACAGTTGTTGTGCGGGGAACTTGAAGTGATGGTGCCCCCACCGGGAAAACGCTGCGCGCGTGGCTGCCTTCCAAATACTAGTGATTAATTGCGATATTATATACATGCATTAGACGGCTGTTTGTGTGGTTAAAAATCCAGCTTCCAAACGTAATTTATTTGGGAAAAACCAGGTGATAACACAAATGAGCTGCATCAGTGCTGTAATTGTATTCATAGAACGGTCAAATAAAAACACGCTGAGCAAACTTCCAACCTGTTTACTCTTCCTATTATTTCAGTCAAATCAGAGGTCAGCCTCTCAGCTGCCCTCCTCTTTTTTTTTTTCTGCCTCCAATCCCGAGGCTGCCTGGTCCTGGCTCGCCTCCATGTGTCTGATCCCCCTCTCCCTCCCCTCCATACTGTCCTTCCAAGCCTTTGCATCACTGCCATTTGGTGTGATGTGGCTCCTCACAGGCGGGACAGTGGGGGCTCACAGTGTCAGCCTTGGGGTGATTCAAGCATGTAGCAGTTAGCTGTCAAATGTGTGGACAATGCTATCACATACCGGCTCCACAGGCCTTGTTCCCACCCGCAGAAGCTGGAAAGGAGGGTGAGAATAAATTTTTCTGATCCTTTCAACACCATCCAGTTCCTCCTGCTTGGAGAGGAGCTCAAAGCGATGCATGTGGATAGCATGGCTTCCTGGATTACGGAGTGACTAGCTCGCTGACAGGGAAGCAGTCCATTGTTGTTGAAGGGCAGTGTATTGGATACACTGCAGAGCAACACATGGAGGCCCCGGGTAACTGTATTGTCAGTTTTCAAGTCCACTTTCTACACCTCTCCCTTTTAAGATTCAACTCAGGGTCATGGCAGCTCCAAGTTCTTTGATGACTCCTGTGCTGTGGGGTGCATAGGTTAGGGGCAAGAAAAGGAAGAATATGAGGCAAAAGCCGAAAGAAACCTGACGTCTGCTTGCACGGGCGACTATTTGCGGCTCGACATCGGCGTGACAAAGGAGCCAGGAGTGGATCTGAGCCTGTCGCCATCCAGGGCGAGGAGGAGTGAAATGGATGGATTCACTGAAACCAACAGGCTACTTAACACGTTCTACTAATCAGCGGAGGCCAGCGCACATTTGTAACGGTTGAGAATGAAGCAAGGATTAGCAGCATGATGAGGCTACACTGAGCTGGGGAGGGGATGAGGGGAAGGAGAAGATGAGCAACTTTGCAAAGATCTCTGCGGCGAAAGCGGTTCAGCTACGATCACCTTCCACCTCATCTACCCAAGATGCAACACCGTGCTGTTCAGCTGCTCATCTGTGTCAACAGTCATCAGAGCATACAATAATTCCTGTCTAAATACCTCCCATCTCAGCCAGCTTGGAGCCAGCTGAACTCTACTGCCCTGCTCTGACAGCTTATGGTACAGCTTTTCTTTTTTTTTTTTTTTTATAAACATGGCAATATGACTACATCACCACACAGTCACATGTCTGCACAAATCCCACAATCGAGGCACTTTTCTGGCAACATGCAGACGCGTGTGAGTGTATTGCATATGATGTCTGTAGCATTTCCAGATATAAATAGTGTGTTTGTGTGTGTGTGTGTGTGTGTGTAGGGCCCTACCGGCGTCTTTCCACTCGGATTCTGAATCCCTACCTCACCTGCACACCTGCTCTATTCTAATACAAAAGAATTGCAGCCAACTAAGGAACAATCAGCACACCAATACATGCATATATATGTAGTCATGTGTGTGTGAAGTGTGATAGGAGACACTGTAAATCACAACAAGGCCCTGCACAAATACCATATAATAAAAAGATTTGTCTCCAAGGGTTAGCTGATGGAAGAAAAAAAAGGATGTACTGTGCATCCTCCCTTCCAAAAAAAAAAAAAACTCAGAGTGTAACGAGAAAAAAAAACAACAACAGCCCTGAAAATGAAAGTGATAATTGCATTTGTATCACACACGCAAATCAATAGGTACTCAACCACCCCCCCTCCTCTCCTCCTCCTGATGCTGAATTTGAGTATCTCAGCTCTGTACATCCCCAACAAGCACATCAATAACATTCAAGGGCAATGAGCGGGAGACACTAAACGCCGAGTTTTGCACAGCACCAACTTGCACATGTCAGGCGTGCAAGCACTTGTGATGCCCCGATGAAAACAGGCTTCTTTTTTTTTTTCTTCCCCCAAAAAATCTAGGTTACGTTGACCTTTAGTAACTCCTGGCGAGCGCGGCTCGTGAGCTTGTGGAAGTCCGCGGTGCACGAGGAGGAGCTGGCATTAATGAAAACAAGAGACTTACTTTAAGACGGCGCTGTCCCCCTGTCTGACGGTGATGTTGTCCTTTAATACTGAATCCCCGCTTCTGGCTGGAACTCCTGCAGGTACAAGGAATAACAATTTAAGTCCGAGGACGACAAGGCATTTCCCAGGCACTGCCAGATAGCCACAAATTCCCATGTTTGTTGTTTTCTTTCTATCAACCGCGCAACTTCCAGGAAAACTTGAGGATAATTCCTTTTTTTTTCTTCTTCGTCTGTTTTTTTTTGTGTGTGCGTCTTAAGCTGCGGACCGCAAATTCCACTCCACGAACCAGACGCAGCAGCAGCAGCAGCAGCAGCAGCAGCCGACTGGAACTGCGGTCGCCCTGGTTTTGCTCCAAGTAAACAGGCTTGTTATGAAATAGTGTCCGTGTCGATAAACGCAGGGGGCGAAAGTGTCTTTCCGCCCTGCCAGCCGCTCTAGGAAACTGACTTGGGAAGGAAAGGAGAGGAGAGGAGGAAAAAAAAAAGAGAGAGAGAGAGAGAGGGGGGGACAGTGTTTTCTCAGAGAAATGCGCACCGTCTCCTCCACTTCAAACTGTAATCGCCGTGAAATGGATGCTCTCGCGGAGATGCATCAGCCAAGTCTCCTTGTATGTTTCCCTCCTCTCTCTCTTCTCCCACCACCACCACCACCTTTCTTTCTTTCTGTCGCCCGGGTGACACTCAAGTAAAAGCTGTGCAAAGCAAAAGGCTGAATTTGCTTCTTTTTTTTTCTCTTTTATTGTCGGTGAATAGGCTTCTGAAGTAACCCACTTCTCCGCCTCTCTCTCGCTCTCTTCCCCTCTCTCTCTCTCTCTCTCTCTTTTAATCGCCAGGTAGCATCGCTTGCATGTGCACCATATGGTCTGCAGTGTGTTCATAGAGGTTTACAGGAAGTGGCTCTCGAACTGGGGACCACCAGTTTGGGGTCACAGTCCTATTTAGCAACATGACAAAAATAAATCCATCACAGCCACCCCCGTGCATGTGACAGGATGATGTAGGTCTGGGCGTATGGAGAACACAGTATTCTTTAATTGGGATCACTTGTAGCTCTCTGAGCGGGTGACCAGCGGGAGCACCCCGAGGCTGCAAAACATAAAAATGAAATGAGGAATTGTTCAATTTAACTGTAATTTAATTCGCTTCCGACAATCGGACAACGAATCGAGATTCTAATAACGGGTGAAGTGATGCTCAGCGGCACTCGGGGTAGTTTGTGTTGAGGCGCCGGGTGATTTGAGGTGTCTTCAAATGGGTGTTTTTGTTTGGAGTGATAAAGGGGGGGGCAGGTCAAGGACCACTTGTAGTGAATGGAGTTGGAGGGAACATGTTCATTGTCTCGAATTCATGAAGAGACGTGTGACATGTATCCTACCGCAAGGATGTTTTTTAAAGTCAGCACCCCTTAAAATGACTTGATTTTAATGAAATGCTGCGCCGTTGAAAGATCTGCATTGCTGTCTTTAATTAAAAGCTACAAACAGAAGCTTTTGATCAGAATTATTGCGAAGCTGGAACATGTGTGACTATTATTTAACCCCATTTCCAGAGGCTGCAGGGACTTACACACTTTAGGTGAATGATTTTTTTTTTAGCTGATATGTTTGGGTCGTAGAAGAGAGGCAACTTTTAGGGAAAGTGTTAAAGTTAGAGAGTGCGAACTTCACTGGAGCGACGTACACTTTGTTTACTAATGTGCTCCGGCTCTGTCTCTCCCCTCGTCCCCCATCTGTATGCATGGAGGGCTCGCTGGCCACTAGGGATGAGAGTGGCACTTTGCTGTGAATCTAACAGCGGCTCTCTGAATTTACTATGACAGCTTTTGAGTCTCATGAGAAGATTGAACAAGATAATTTCTTTACCTTAACATCAATTTGGCACGCTGTTAAGATATTGGATGGGAGGCAACAAATGACAAAGGACTGACAGCTCTGGATGCCATCAGTGTGAGGGGAGGAGGAGGGGGGGAGATACGAGTAACACATGGCGTTGTTCTTGTCTGGTATCACATGTTTGGAAGCATTGATATCTGCAGGCTACAGTCTGCGTTGTCATCACACATCTGACTTTACAATAAAAACACTTGTCTTTATAATAAACACACTAAGTTTGGGTTCAGATCCTTCAGTTATCAGCTCCTCTGTTATGGAATCAGCTCCCAGTTTGGGTTCAGGAGGCAGACACCCTCTCTGCTTTTAAGATTAGATTTCCTCTTTGATAAAGCTCATAGTTAGGGCTGCTCCGGATCACCTGAACCGTCCCTTACTTATGCTGCTATAGGTGTAGACTGCCGGGGTATTCCCATGATGCACCGGGCTCCTCACCTCCACTCTCCTCTCTCTTCTTTCATTCAGTTATAGAGCACCATTACACATCACTAACTCTGTGGCTTCTCTCTCCCATAGTTTGTGTTTTGTTCTCTCTGCAGGTGTCTCTGATCTACAGCCGCCGGCCTCGCCGACCTCCAAAGTCTTTATTGTTCTCTTACGTATTCTTGGTCTGTTCTCCATCTGCTATCCTGCTATCCCCACCCACAACACTTCTCCGTCTCCCTGTATCTCCACCCTCACCCCAACCGGTCAAGGCAGATGATGGTCCTTCCTGAACCTGGTTCTGTCTGGGTTTTCTTTTCCTTTTTTTCCTACAGTTCAAGCGGAGGTTTTCTGTTCCTTCCCACTGTCGCTGAGTGATTACTCAAAGGAATTCTAAAGGAAACTTTGGGTTTGTTGGGTTTCTCTGTTTATAGTTCGTAAGGTCTTTACTATATGAAGTGCTATGAGACAGTCATGACTCGATAATCCGATGCTAAATGTAAATTTTATGTCAGATAGCAAGGCTGTCGGATTGTCAAGACGGAGGTCGAGGTACAAGGAGGGTTTGATGCTTGAAGGGCAATTTGTTGTTAATTATTGTCTATAGTTGTTATAATAACTAGTAGGGCTGGTCCCAATAGCACTTACTGGTCTCTGGATATTCAGGCTCAATTAATGATGAATATCCGAACATTCAGTGCGGTCGGGAGGGACACTTCCACCCCGAGGGAGCACGCTGACGGGGTGGAAGTGTCCAGAACGCAGAGGCAGTACTTAGGTGCTGATGCTAGTTTAGTTAGCGGTCACAGTTCTGTTTCCACCATCGGTGGCGGCGGGGGGAGTGGCAGATATGCTCCACCGTTACCATCCATGTTTACTTCCATAAACACTGAGCACGCTCACTGTGTGACGTCGTTGTGTCCTCTTCTGCGCATGTGGGACACTTTTGGGTCGTATGAAGTTCACACAGCAGATTACATACAAGTCGTATTTAATTGGAAATGTGAACAAACTCACAAAAAAATCCAAATTGTGCTGTAGTCTGAAGCCAATCTGTCGGATTGTTCAGTCAGATAATACGCCGTTATCCTTATTTGTGACATCAAATGTCATGTCGGAGTCGGAATCCAAGACTGTCGGTATGTTAAGGCTGTTTTTAATGGGTTCCGTTCGTTTTTCCTGAAAACCTGTTGGACAGCAAGGTTTTCGGATTGTTAAGGGTCGGATTATCGAGTCAAGACTGTATATTGTGAATTCATTCTGCAAAACTGAAATGATACGGCATTTAATTAAATTCTACATTTTAGGAAGTATGCAGCTTTTTCAAGATGTTATTACTGAATTTTATTATTACTGAACATCTGAGCGCAAAAACATCAGCAGATACCTCATGAACCATAAAATCTACCACCCACACTGTCCTGTACGTCCAGTTTCCATCATTTTCAGGCAGCACCCAAAGGCCACAGTTCCCCTGCTTGTAATTCCAGAGTGTCCTCACCCTCGCATTCACGATTGGTTGGGCAAAAGTTGTAAGACACGAGCAGCCCATCACATTCACCAAACTGTTGTTGAGTTTACTCGAAGGCTGTTATTGAAGAATTATGATGATGTCTTGTGCCACAGAAATTGGGCAAAGATAAGCCCTAATTGAAATTATATCTGCCTGGAATGCAACACAAGTCCTGACTTTGTGCACATCTTAATGGTTTTTAAATTAAAACCCCTCTCTGACCTCAGCAAAATCTAAGATATGTGGTCTTAATTAGAGTCAAGGATACAGGGAGGAGGGGGGGCGCGGTGCATTTCTTCACCTCCACCCTCCTCAGTCGATTAGTGCTGCATTTGATCACGTTTTAACACCTTGGTGGCTTCTTCCGCCAATGCACAGCGAGGATACGTAGGGTTTATTAAGAATTCAATCAAGGGAGGTGATAAAAAAAGTAGCAGGTACGTGCAGCAGTTGTAGCTATCAGCTCCGCGCAGTGCTGTTTTGAGGATAAAATAAGACCGCGATCCATTTTAATCCACGTCATGCGCATTATGTTTTTGACCGTGATCGTTCTGCCTTACAGCGGGTCAGGTACATCCGATGACCTTGCCAAAGTTCCACCACGAGCGAGAGTGCCAAGCATGCATAAATGACAAATTAGAATGGCATTGTTTGTTGCACAGGCCGCATGAATCATTCTTGAAGTGTCGCACAAACACAGATAGAGGGAGAGCAAAAGAAAAACCTAAACTATGTGGCCTAGATCAACTACCCATGCTCTAAAATGGGAGGTAGACATATTGATTTTAACATGCTCAAATGAACAAAGCCATTTCGCTTAAGTCAACATCTTTTTGACTGGTTGCAGCTGTATACAGTCCAAGTCTTTCTGGCAGATTGTTTTTCTCATTTATTTCACTTATACATGCAGTGACATTCACATAATTTCCTGCTGCAACGCATTAACACCGGACCCTGGGTGGTTTACTCAGACAATCCACGCTAATCTTCATTCATATCATGCAAGGATGGGCAGAGCTAGCAGACAATGAGCGGGCCTCTGACCAAAGCAAGCTAATACCCAAGCAAAAACATGGATAGACTGTATAAAGAGCGATCACTCAATGGAATCAGTCATCTGCACAAGCTCAGATTCCTCTGGCACACAGATGCCAACTTATTCATGAGAGGCTGATGTTCTGAGGTCAGCTCAGCAAAAAAATTTATTTTATACTTAAGAGCGTGCAGGTTGGAGCCCCCGTTTTTATTGATAAGCAGCTCAAGTCAAAAACTCCGGAAGAAGAAAGTGTTGGACGGCTCATGTGGGTTTTTGGTGAGACGTGCTCGTTATTGATCAGCCTAACAGATTAGGAGACATGACGTTGATGAAGAGCTCCACGTCTTCTGTGTCTCAATACAATTCCCAACATCCCACCATGTGCTGCAAAAATTATTCCATCCATTAGCAGCACACGGTTATCTCCTGTAGAAGGATGTGTGTGTGTGTGTGAGGGGGAGTTAGCTGTAAGTCTATCTGGTGCTGATATTGGGTGAGAGGTGGAACAGGTCGGCAATCAATTCAAGGGCTGA